ATGTTCCTAAATTGCAATGAACGAAAACAGCATTTCACTCAAATTTTCAATGCAGACCATTGTGGAAAACTGAGTCTGCTCTTTCCGCAGATGTTTCTGAGATAGGAAATCTTTATCAACTCAGAGCTAGGCAAAACAGGTAAAATGAGAGCACTGTGTCCCATTTTAAACACAAGTAAACTTAGATGGGTCTCCGAAGCCATCTTAGGTTCCTTATACCTCAGGTAGTGGGGACAGCAGTCAAAAGTCTTAAGGAATGAAACCCATCTTTTCATTCCCTCTCCCACCCTGGCCATTGCCCAAGTCCTTTTCTTCTTCCCAAACCTGTTTGTGGTCAAAACACTGACCCCAGCTGAGGTTCTACCACAAAGCCTTCCCTCTTTAAGTTTCTCTTCCCAAGGTCATAGCAAATTCTTTGGCTTGAGGAAGCAGCAAATCCACAGCATCCTACCTGTCCTTGAATGCCATCCTAGGGACCACAGGATTACTCTGTTAAAATTGTTCTTTTTTATTTATAGCAAAAGATGCTGAACCCTGAATGGGAGTGTATCTTAGACATGCATCGACAAATGAGTCTAAGGCTGCTGTCACGAAACCTGCAGCTACTATGCGGCCATTGTGCATCCATAGGCAGTGTGCAGTGTTGTCATCAGGTGCTGTTTGAAAGGTGTTGAGTAAGTTTCCACTCATACCATTTAATACCGGCAGCATTTGGGGAATATCTTTTGCCTTGTGAAATCAGATCACCCCCTTTCCCCCTCCAGGAATGGAAATCTGGCAGAAGCTGCCAAAATGGATAAGCAACATTAATGAAACATGTCATACACATCCTGCTTGGATTCTGTTTCACCTCCACACATGGGTTTAAAGGAAATCAGATGATAAGGCAGTAATGAAAGAAAGCAATATCTTTAGGTAAGCTAAAGTAATTTATTTTGCTAAACCCCTCAATCCAGTATCAGTGCAACAGCTACTTACACGCCTTATGTAATGTATACCTCTTAAAGTTCCAAACGGCTAATGCAAAAGTCGCATGGATTTTGAAAAGACTACCTCATGCATGATTATTGTAACTTACAAGTCAAAAGCTGCTGATGCTCGAAAGGAACTCACTTTTCTTTGTATGCTTCATTTTGTGTGACATGAGGACTCATGCAGTGTGCTTCTGTTCCCTCTCTCAAATAAATTTTCTCAAAAGAAGGCAATGCACAGAACCAATGAAAACAGTGGGGCATCCCACAGAGACCACTACTGGGACCAGTGTTTTTCAACTTGTTCATAAATGATCTGGAATTAGTGAGTTGTCATGTTTGTTGTTGGCACCAAACTAGCTCAAGTGATTAAAGCAAAAAGGGATTTCAAAGAGCTCCAAAAGGATCACTATAGACTGGGAGAATATTCATCAAAATAGCAGATGCAGTTCAATGCAAGGATGTGTAAAGTGATGCACACTGAGGCAAACAAACAGAATTTCTCACAGAAGCTGGAGGAGTCTGAGCTGAAGGTGACTTACCAAGAAAAATAATTTGAGGTTGTGCTAGACCATTCTATAAAATTGTCAACCAAGTGTCAAAAGGGATTACCCAGGGTCATCCCATGGAACAGATTGCCCATCATCATCATCACCATCACCAGCACCATCATCATCTTTATACCCCTCCTTTTTTCATCTGGCAAGGGATCTAAGTTGGTTTACAAGGTTCTCCTCCTTTCCCAACAACCCTATGAAGTAGATTAGGCTGAAAGTCAGTGACTGGCCAAAGTCACCCAGTGAATTTCATGTCTGATTGGGGACTAGAACCCAGATCTCAGTCCAACATTCCTAATCAGTACACTGCCCTGGCCTTCCATATAAAAAGAAATAATTATTCACATCATGTGCAGTTAACCTATGGAATGGAATTGCTGCCTCAGGATGCAATAATGAACACCAATTTGAATGGCTTTAAAGGGGGATTATCCAAATTCATGGAGGAAATATTACCTATGGCTACTAGTGCTGATAGCTACATGGCACCTGTAGCACCGGAAACGGCATGCCAGTGTCCACCAGTAGTTGGTTGGCCACTGTGTGAACAGACTGGTGGACTAGATGGATCCTTGATCAGACCCAGCATGGTGGCCCTTTGGTTCTTATTCAAACATTTTAGTGCCTCTGCCAGACTGCTAGGATAATCATGGAGTGCCAGCTGAATCCAAAAAGTCTCAGATGGCTTGAAGTGAGTTTTGAGATCCCACCTTTCACACAGAAGTGAAAATGGCTCATTGCCCTCCTTAAAATGGCAAGCAAAATCAGCTATTTGCCAGAGGGATGCTATAGAACTTCTCAACATTTACTTGCAGGAAAAGTGCAGATTTTCCTCTGTCAAAAGGTTGCACTTCAAATGTCAGTCTCTTACTTCCCTAACCTCCCCCTTGGCTTTCTTTTTTTATACACTCCATTAACTGTTAACCTCCAGATTATCAAGATTTATACTATAACCATTTCCACGGATGACCAGTGATGTAGTGCTCCATCCTGACCCCAAGAGCTCCTCATGACAGTCCCCATAACCAAACCTCCCACCTCAGGACAATCCCGCCCTTCTTGATTCATGCCTGCCAATGAGTGATAGGCATTTTTATCTCTGCCAGGGGAAGGTCTTTAGTAAAGCTCATGGGCCTCTTAAGTGCCCATCCAGGAGGAAGATACTTCAAAATGCTTTGCATGACAAAGGGAATAATGTTAGGGAAATTCTTCCCATCCCAAGCATACACATATGCAGTTGCTCTGAGGTCTGCAGATCCGTTTCAAAGGTAGGAGGTAGAAGCTAGAAAATGTGGACTTCCCTGCTCATGGAAAAGTGCCTGCGCTTCATTCCTGTGAGCTCTGGTTCCACCATACCAGGTAGATAGGATGGGGTTACGCCCAGGCAATCCAGGCAAGCTGCAACTGCATTTCCCCAGCCTATCTCAGGGTGCTTTTCTTGCTATTGTAGGGGTACTGCAGGATGCTGGGAGATGGTGCAAGATTTCACCCTAAGATGCCCAAACACCCTTCTCTACTGCAGATATTCTGCTTGCTGCAGGCTGGCTGTCACATGTGCAGGGCATGTGGGGGGGGCAGTGGAGGGTATATAAATGGGTGGGGGATCAGAAGGGATTGTGAATTAATCTGTGACCAGGGCTGTGTGCACAACTGTAAAGTAATCCAAGACATGCATTGCATCAAAGCATCACTGGATGCCCCATGCTGACCAAGGTGGGAAACCTCCCGCCAGTTCTGTTGTATTCTTTTTACACTCACACACACTTATGCAATCTAATCCATCAGTGGCATTTAGCATCTAGTAGTTTATAGCACCAATACTTAAGCCTATTCCTCCTGAAACATATTGTGCTTGTTTGTTACATAGGCAGCATCCATCCTATTGGGGTTTATTTCAAGGCACATCTTGATAATTCCAAAAGCACATGTTTTTAAGCATCTGAGCAAACTTTTAAAAGAAAGCAAACTAAAACCAAACACCTACCCTGACGCTGACCAGTGGCCACATGGGATGGTTTCAACGTGATTACTGCTTTATTATCTTAATATGACATCGTTGGCCATCTGGCTGATTTGAAATGGGTAGGAGGCTCTAATCCTGTGCTGTAATAGTCACTAAGAAGTACACTAGTAAATCCCTTGGATATTTTTGAGGACTTGCTTTGGAAAATGACAGGCGCTTTCCTTCTGTGTCGTGACATGCCATTTTATTAATCTTGTGCCTTTCCCTTTATGTTGTTCCATTGCATAGATAATTGTAAATGTTTTGCATGTTGTTCATTCCCATTTATCGAATTATTTTAGTTTCTCATTGGATGCAACCCCAAATAACCCTCACAGCAAAATTCCAATCAGAGATTAAGGTACTCTATATGCAATGTAAAAAAAGGGAAAAAATCTCAGTGAACTCAATGGAAGTTACTTCTAAGTGCAAATGTATAGGGTTGCATTATTCAGCAACAATTTTATCACTTTTATCTTAGAGTATATCTCACTGCACATAACATAAGTGTTTATGTCTGAGTTTATATTTGTAGGATTGTGCTGGCAGAATGATAAATGGAGGGTGAGCTGAGAACCAAGAAGTCACAGTTCAAGCCTTCTCTCAGCCTCAAACTCTTTGGGTACCCTTGGGAAAATATATTATTTACATTATCTTGTGATGTCATAATATCTTATGCATGTATCACAGGGATAATAATTTACCTGTTTTGAGGATTACTGAGATCAAGTTAGGGAAAGATTTTGGATACTAAGAAACATCCTGTAAATCCCAAGTATGGGGAGAAATGAAGCAGGAAAATTAATTGAGGGCTGCAATGACATGGGTATGACAGAGATGAAGAAGAAAGGCAGGCAGGCAGTATATGCGGAAGCTAAAAAATACCCTGAGATCCACCAAGCAGAGCCTTGTGTGAAAGACATACAGTTAGAATAAAAGGCCTCTGAGTGGAGGAATTAGTTTGTAGAACTAGGATTGAAAAGAACTCCTTTCCAATACAAACAGCCATTCCTAGCTTGCCCCAAGCTTTCTTCATTTCAGCGATACAATTAAGGTTGGGGTGAATCGTTTTGTTGTTGCTGTAGTTAGACAGTGGGAGCTCGAAAGCCTTGCTGATCAATTGCAATCTTTCAGAGATCAGCAACCAGAACCTGGTCTACCTTCTGCCCATCGCTGCTGCATGCACAAAGAGATGAACAGAACAGAGTTCACTGTTCTTCACAGTGAAGAAAAAACAAGAATACGGATGGGAAATGAGCAGAGGTGTCTAAACAAACAGGCTAATTGGAAATTCTTTTGGTAAAATGTTTTTGCAAACTCATTTGTAAATGTGTGTTGCAGTTATAGCTAAAGTGCTTTCCCAGTCCTAATGTGCTGATGAGGTCTTCTTTGGTAATAAAAATGGTTCTCAGCGCTGTAAAGAGATAAATGATTTGAATATAATACCTTGTTTTCCTTTTTAATATCTAGGGCTACGTCCCAAGAGAACTCTCCGTTTAGTACTTTGGACTGCAGAGGAGCAAGGTGGAGTAGGAGCTGAACAATACTACAAGCTGCATAAAGTAAGCAATCTCAGGAAATAGTATATATTTTTCATCTGAGTAGTTTAGTGTTTGTCTTTTTAATTCTTTCTTCTAATGTGTGGCAAGGAAGGCAGGCAGGCAGGCAGGCAGGCAGGCAGGCAGGCATGATATGGTGTGGACATAGAGACCAAGCCCAGGGACTGTGAGTGAATGCATAGGATGATAGAATCATAGAATTGCAGGGTTGGAAGGGGCCATGAAGGGCATTGGGTCCACTTCCACCCCCACCCCCCGCTGTTGCAGAACAACAAGTTTCACCATCCCCCTCAGATGGCTGTCCAGTTTCTTTTTGAATGTCTCTAGTGTGTTGAGAGCCCACCACCTCTGTAGGCAACTGGTTCCACTGTCGTATTGCTCTGACAGTGAGGAAACTTTTCCTGATATCTAGCCTGAATCTGGGTTGTTGCAGCTTGACTTGATTTTTTCATGTCCTGCACTCTGGTATCAGCAAGAAGAGATCTTGACCTTCCCCTTTGTGACAGCCTTTGAGGTACTTTTAAAGTGGTACCATGTACCCCCTCAGTCTTCTCTTCTCAAGGCTGATATAAGGAATAAATAGAGTCCATAATCCAGATTAAAATCAAAGGCATCTAAAGCAACCATCATAAATCCCTAGAAACCATGGCAGGAAGAGAGGTGGTTCCAACTGAACATCAAATGATAGTTTGTACTATCTGTAACTTTGACTTCAAATCATTCTTTTTGTTTTAGATGTACTGGCAAACCATGATTTATGTATCTTTTCTTCTTTCTCAGCCTTTCCTGAGAACCTTCCAATTTTATCCCAAACATTTTGTCAAATTGTGGGTTGGTGTTACATCTGAATCAGACGAAAGGAGACTAGGGCACTAGAGATATATTTAACTAGAGATATATTTAATCCATCAGTAAAGTTTCTCAGTTTCACTGAAGTAAATGAGATCAGAAGGAGAATCCTCAGAGAAATGCCAAAGGAAGCTAAGAGAGTTTTAATCAGATTGGGAAAATGTCAGATAGGGTGCAAGGGAGGTGCTACCTATTGCTAGGCTGTTAACCTGATTTTGCCTAAAGCTGAACAAGATGAAACATTTGAGAAATTATGCGAGCAGACAAAAACAGTTTCAACCAGATTAGCAAAAAAATTTGGGGAGATTTTCTACATTCCTGCCTCAGACATGCACTCTCTCAGCAACAGTAGTTCTTTGCTCCACATAAGGTTTAGGTTACAATTAGTGAGGGTTTCTTCCACAAGAACAGTTCAGATTATAGCAGTGTTCCTAAACTGGGTGTTTTCCAGATGTGCTGGGCTTGCCCTGGATGCTGACAAAATCCATGCCCTGCATGGCTGCCAGGTTTATGGCAACGCCAACACCACTGGGTGCCTCCCCCCCGCACAAGCCTCATAGTGCTCTGTGTGTGTGCATGAAGGAGAGAGGGGAAGAGATTTGCCGGGATTGCTGTTGGAAATGGAAGGATTAAACCGCCCTCCCTTGTGTGCTGTGCTCCCAATGAAAGCCAGAGACAGTTAACAACTGCTCTATTAAAGTAAACATCGGATTTGTTCCTTAATTTGCTGACATAGATACAGTTGTGCCTTGCAAACTGGAGATGACGATATTTTCCTTCAGTGGTTTACTATGAGCTCAGCTGTGCATATGTTCTACATGACCTGCCTTGCAAAATTATGCATGCTTTTCAGCTACAACTAGATCTTTTAGCTATTGTCAGTGGCTTTCACAATAATTAACTGCCTGTGATTTGGGGGTGTAGAAAAACATGAGCAAAACATGATCAAGTTTGTGCCTCATTTATGTCAACAGCTTATTTTGTGATAAGATACTGGAATGAAATTGACAAGGGTATTTTTGTGACAGCTTTAGAACTTAATTTTCACCAATTAATGTTAGCCATACAGAATGAAGCCTGTCTTGAACAGCACTGGTGTTTTTATGGTGCTGTGTAAACACTGCCAAAATATACGAAAAATGGGCTAAAAGTAGGACACAACAGCATTTTCACATTTTGTGAAATTTGTTTGCAATTAACTCTTCAAAACATGGTATGACATGATGGATAACTTGAAAAAATTGTCTCAGAGCCAAATGTGATCATTATATAAATATGCCATTGCTACCCTAATTTTAACTGTTCTTATAATTCTTTCCCCAAAAATTAAGGAAGTAAACGCTTTATAAACATTCCTGATATTTTTGGCCCACTCTTGCAAGTTATTTTTGTACATGCACTTCTATTTGTGGGTGTCCATGCATCTGTATTCATGTGTATAGATAGGCAGAGTATCTATCGTCATCCTGGAAGATGGCTAAGAAATGTTTTGAGTAAATAAAACAAGCAAATGCACATGCACAGGGATTTCTGTGTGTGTGTGTGTGTGCGTTCACAGAAAAGCACACATCACCTTTCAGCTCTTTTGCTCGAAAATAGTATTTGCCTATAGCAGGCCCATTGTCCACATTTCTAGTGACTTCATTTGCTCTCAGGGTCATCACTGAGATTAGGTCCCCTTTGCCTTTTCAGTGCTCCTGGCTACTCTCTCCTGTCAGTCTTAGCCAGTCTGGCCAATATTGATAGATGATGGGGATATTGACAAATTATTCCTGAAAATATTTAGGTGACCATTTGTTTCCCACTCCTGCCATAGCTAAATCTGATAAGCCTTGCGCTATTGCAATAGCACTGTTTTCGGACAACCTTCAGATGGGACAAATGGGTACATATAAAGAGGTGCAGCCCACTAGTAATCCTCACTTCCGTGCATCCACTGGAGCTTGTGCACAGGGAAGGACAGATTAGAAATTTGTTTCAGTTCACTTCTTTGGCAGAATTTTACCTAGTTTGCACCTCCCAAGTAAACATGGGCTCAGATTTAATAGGTGGGAAAAAGCCATACCTTTCCAAATTTGCAATCTGATTTCTGGATCAAAGGAAAAATGCATACCTTTCAAAACAGTGTCTAATGATGTGTACATTTTGAAAAATATGCATGGAAACAAGCAGATTTTCCTATGAAAGTGAAAATAACAACAAAGCTCACAAGCAGCTCTAGATATGAGGCAGAATGAGCCTGCGATGCACCTTGGAGAGCTTTGGTGAGCTTCATTTTTTCTAATCTGCACATCCTTATACACAGGGATGCAATCCACTATATAATGGCTCCAAAAATATAAGAGTTCTCCTGAAAAGCAGAAAAAATGGATTGCATGCACAGGCTGTCCTGTTCTGAAATGTGAACATGCTGACTGTGGGGCATAGAATTCCAATACATTGGTCAGAGCATGTGTGATCCCCAGTTTAGCTGTGTGACTGAGCCAGGAAGCATTGCCCTTACTTTCCAACAGCATTCCACCTTCCAACCCCAGTCCAGTGATCTGAACAGAAAGCTGAGTTTGATAGGCTCTGTACTGTCATAACATCACCCAGTTATTATGTCTGCCTTCTCCAACTTGGTGCCATCCAGATGTTCTGGAATACAACTTCCTGGATTCCTGATCCTTCCTATGCTAGCCAGGGGTGATAGGAGTTGTCATCCAAAACACGTGGAGGCCATTGAGTGGGGAAAGACTGTTATGTGAGTCTTAATTGGAGTTACCCATGTGACTGACAGCAGAAGGAGAAGAGGGAAGGCGAGACAAAACAGTGACAGGAAGTAGGGTTGAGAGAAGATAAATATCTTGCAACAATTGTGGGAGATAAATCGTAACAAGCGGGTAGGATGAGAATATTGATTTTGCTTTCAAAACATAAAAGCATGGTCTGTTTGAAGTACACAAGCAGGAGCATAAATCCACCAAAAATGTTCACAAATTGCCAGGAATGTATTCATGTTCAATTTTTTCGCTTATCCATTTTGCACATATTTTATAATTTGCACACATTTTCCTTGTAGAACAGATCAGTTCACTCTCGGGGGAAAGTTGCCTAAATGGAGGGCATTTTCCCAAATTTCACATTGGATTGCTGCTTAGTTTGCACAATTTTCCCCTCATGCAGAGCGAGCAGTGATCACAAATGAAAACAGGAATCAGGCATGAGATAAGCAGTAAAACAATGTTTGGGGGATGCTGGTGATCTCAAACCTTGCTCATTCACCTGTGCAAGCTATTCCCCCAGCCCCCACCATTGGTGCTTTATCCTGAGCTCCCATGCCTTACCACCTGCATATTTGGTGGTGTGAAAAGAGGCTCTGTGTGTGCATGCACATAGAACCCCCTGCAAGGCAGCATGGCTGGCTTAACCGAGATACACCTTGCATTCAAATCTCTATGCACAGATGGAGGAACATGAGGCTGCTGTACATACCAGCACAGGGAATGGGCTAATTCACACAGTCCCGCAGCCCTGTGTATACGTTCTCTGAAATGGTGAGGGGTCAGCCTCACATCTCTCAGGTGAAGACAGCTCAAGTGACCTACACAAATATGTACCCCAGTCAATGGGGATGATTCAGTGACAATTTGCATAGAAATAGCCCTAGTGAAACCAATGGAGCTTTGTTCACCAAAGGCAAAATCAGCCATTGCATACAAATTCATGTGAAACCCATTTTTACTATAGTAGAGGCTCTGTAGAAATGGGATATTTTCGATAAATAACACACGATAGATAATAGGGTTGTAACAAAGCTCCATGGATTCCATCCCTCATCAGTTTGCAGATTTCCTCTCAAACTCAGCCCTGTCTTAGAAAGTGAGCTGAGCCCAGAGGAAGTCTGCAAACACTCGTGGAATGAAGGCAGCCCAGCTGGCAACTTTCCTCCATGGCACACAAAGGCTGCGAGTCACGTGCACCAAAGAGGGACGCTACTTGTGCAGAACTCATGCGGGGCTCGATTCCTGGCGAGCACCGCATGAACACTCATCACGCTCACCAGGAAAATGGACTCACAGCCTCAGGAAAGCGGGCTGGAATCAGGGGAGCCGCCCCACAAAACGAATTCCTCACACATCCCTAGTAGATAAAGGAAGCCCCACAAGTCCTCC